ACACAATCACCAGCCACAGACAAAACGTGCAATATTACAAGGCCCGAAGCCGTCAGTCCACAGTGACAAAGTTACCATGATCACAGTTTGAACAGTTGACAGCTATAGGCCTACAGCTTTCATGCTTAAACCATAACTTGGTTTTAAATGAAAGAGGGATCATACATGAACAACATAACGGGTTAGGGTAACTTAACCATGTTTACAGAAAAAAAGATCAACAACCTATAACAGGGCCTATGCACAGAATGCAGCTATTCAATACTCATTCTTGTTTAAGAATATGAGTATGTACATGCTCAGGGGAGAGGCGGGTGCGGAGGCGATTCACAATCAGGCCAGCTGTAGAGAAGACCCTCTCAGCTGGAATTTGAGCATAAGATGAGGTTTGAGTCTGAGTGATCTGCGTGTAGGGAGGGGCAGCAGCCATGTCATTAGCTAGAACTAGCTAGATCTGATGGATTTGGACATAAACGTGAGTGAAGTATAACCGGACGCGAGAGAGGGAGATCAGCACCTGCAGCTCTGCCCGCTGTGAGGGGCCGGTGAGTGGAGCAAAACACACCTTTAGACCCAACACATTTAGCTCTGGCACTGTCGTATACATTGAATTATTCCATTTGATGATATGTATTCAACTTAGGCACCCCTCCCAAAAAAATATATTCATAACTCATATTCGAATACCTGAATAATTTAGACTATTCGATGAATCGTTCCCATCCCTAATAGGTAGGTGCTCTCATATTATCAAATTGTAAATGAAATTGTATTTTGCCATCTGCAGTCTGAATGACTGGCCGCTGTTTTAAAATTTGGCTGCATGTCTAATTTATTCTCATTTTTGTCCCCTTGAAGCTCACCATGTATTCACAGGATTATCTATGCTGAGTGAACGAGCTGGAGTGTAAGGGGGTTTCTGATGGTTGAAAAGGTTATGTTAGGCTCCTAATCTGCATCAAAATGGAGCAGTGAGAGTTCTACTTAATGAGCAATAAAATAAAGTAAACGGCTGGGGTAAGACGATAGCCTCATTTTGAGAGGCAGTGTGAGAGATGAAGCGGAGTGGGTCAGTGGGGTTGGCTGGTGACGGCTGCAGTGACGGTGTTTGGTGGTGGACTGATTAAATCACACTCACACTGCCTATCACTCGCTCTGCCTGCTGTGCCACACTAGCTGCCTCTGTTTACAGGCCACTGAGTGTAGTGGAAGTCACAGTAATCCTGTTGGCTCGGTGCAGTGCACTAATATATGAAAGTTTGATGGACAAACACGGGGCATATTTACACACAGGCTAGGACTGGGGCAATGCACATGTGTAGATAAAGGTGTATGCTTGAAGAGACCAGATACATCAAACCCACTTACACTCGTACTTTTTCAGAATTCAGTTTACTTTAGTCTTCCTTTGAATATCAGAGAGTGGGAATTTAGCCCATATTGGGAGGAGAAGAAGAAAGAGCTTTGTTGTTGGTGTAATGTTGGTATTGACTTTGTTAGTTCTTTTTTGGGGTCAAATGTGCAAATGTGCTCTGTTTTGCTTTGTGCGAGAGTTAGCCTTCTTTCTCTATCATTTTAGGTGAGAATATTAGCTTGTTCTGTTGGTATTCTACCCTCGGATGTTTTTTGGCTCAGGAAGCCTACCCATGCTTAGACTCTGAGGACAGCTGCTATATTTCCTGCCTTTCATCTGCAAGGCTTGTGCTTTGTTGCTAAAATCTGTGTGTAAGAGAGAAAACGAAAGAGAAGTTGCTTCTGCCTCGCTAGAAGATGTTCAATACAAAACATACTCTTATAGTATTTCTTCTGCCATTCAAAAAAACGGTACTGTCCAGTCCAAACAAAAGATGTAATTGGAACAGAAAATACATTCACTCAGTTATTTACTTTTATTGCAGTACAGTCTGATGCTAGCCTGCTAAGTTGTATCTCTGTTTCCCGACTCTCACGTCTGTGCTAAGCCTGAGAAATGTCCCACTTAGAAAGATTTATTACAAACGTATTATTTACACTCTGTGCACAGTTTGACCTTGATCTTCTGCTGAACCGAAAACGTTCTGTTATCACTTTTGCCAATGCCAGAGCACTCCTCTGATGCGAGCCAGAGCAAGAGGCACTTTGTGTGAGTTGTGATGTTTGTTTTCTAAGGTGCAGCACTGAATATCAGAACCTCTCTGTCCTGCTCTGTTTCTCTTTCAAAATCTGTTCTTAATCAATTTGTTTCTTATTGAAAACCTCAACATGAAAAGCTGCCCCTAGTCTTTACAGCTAATCAATAAAAGTGTTCCACAGGGCTCTTTACTTGGCCCATTTCTATTTACATGAATGATATCCCCTGTTGTTCTTCTGATTTGTGGCAAAATGTCCTATAGAGATTTACTCTTTTATGTTCCGGACAAAAGAACTTGCTTAAAGATCTAGAAATCCTGATTGATTCTAAACTATTATAGCTAATATTTCTTTGTACAGTCAAAAATCCAGACGCATGTTTTTCCTGGTAAAGCCATCATAATAAGCCTGCAGTCCACATAAATGATGTCATTCAAGTCCACAGAACTGCCTGCAAGGCTAGATCAGCATTCATCAGGCTGAACTCTTTTCCTCATTATCTCTGCATCACTATCCTCCTGCCCTCCTTTGGCATCACTCCTTCCATCTTTTCTTTTGCTTTAGTCTTCAACGACTGTGTATCATTTTCTTCTGCCTTGCATGACCTTATTCTACCCCATCTTTTCATGTTCCTCTTCACCGCAGGCTTTTTGGGGTTAGCAGACTCTGCTAGTCTTTGGAACAGACTGCTTGGCTTTGCCTCTTGTGTTCATATTTTGACAGTGTTCTTCTCTGGTTAGTGCTACTTTGAAGTGCAATTGCTGCATGGCTTCCCTTCTGTTACTCAGAAACCTTGCACTCTTCCGATGCTTTCAGGATTATTTCATTTTCTGCCTTTCCTGTGACTTCAGCCTTGTCTGCCCAGAAGCTCTTTTAGCCCCTTTTTAAAATAATTTCACAAAGCCGGAGTTGTCAGCAGGTGGTCAAAGTATTGTCTGAACTGGCCTGTGGAGTCGGTTTGGTATTTGTTAATATGACTCTTCATGCCAAAGAAATAAACAATGAGCCAAGTTAGAGAAGATGTTCTTCCTGAGATCATGTTGTTGTAAAGCTAGTTAGCACTTTGATCGTTTTTGTTTTTAAGAAATGGAAAAAACTCAAAAAACAAGAAAATATTAAGTTGATACTGGATTTCTTTTAATGTGTTGCATCCCCCTCCTCCTTAAAAGAAAGCTGAGACAAGAGACTGCTTTGATACTAGCCAGTCCCTCTCTTTACTGCATCAACAACATCTGTCTCCAAAGAGAGAAATATTCATGCATGGGTGACACCACATTGTTTGACAGAGTGGTGTTTATGATTCCCATCATGTTTGTTTTCCGTACTCGGAAAGAGGTAGGTCATGGTGGGATATTCTGATCCCGGGTCAGACGGGGATAGTGGCCTGACTCCACCAAAAGGAAAACAAGAAATGTCGAGACCACAGCCATAAATACAAGATATATATATATATATACTGCATATTTTTACACTCAAGCCTTTAAATGTACTGCAAGTTAAAAAACAGGATAACATTGACTTGGATAAACTTTGAAGCAGGCTAATTGGTAGTTCTTTCTTTGCAGTGTTTTCAAGTGTAAGTGTTGTTCAGCCAGTATATGCTGATAATGTAGAAAGCTTTGTTGCTGTTACGTTTGAGTCCTGTCAGGGTTGTCTAGACTCTAAGATACACCAATGAGTATGTGAGTGTGTATTTTTCCTCTGGATTGATAGGGCTCTATGTAGCAGATGAATCAGATATGAAGAGCTAAAGTGTGTGTGTAGAAGGATATTGACCTGGTGCCTTCCACAGATTATGATTAATCTACAATCCAAGGTGGGGGATGGAAAGATAGTCGTAATTATTGAATTGGGGAACAAATATACGCACAACCTTGATCAAAACGCTGTTAAGAGTTACATGAGTTGAAACCATCCTGTTGAGGTGACAGTAAGTGGGTTTTATGTACATTGATATACAGAGTATGACACATATACTATAGAGAAATGTGCGGAATGGTTTATACATCCTATCAACTGTGTTGGTGAAAGATACTATGTGTTTAATTTGTCAGATTTTATTTATTTTTTTATAATAGAAGATATAGGTTGATTCAGGTTATCACCTGATGTTCATGTAGTAGCCTAATGACTTTCAAGAGTGTAGTTAAAACACTTTAGCACTTAAACACAATATTTGACTCTAATATAAATATACCATGAATGGGCATGTAACCGCTCATTCTTGACAGCTTTAAGGTTAACCAATTTGGCTTTGCTTTTAAAAAACAATGTGTCATGTCACCTCTGTTGAAACCTCATAATATGATTATGGTATTCTGAATATCCCACCCAACCAGTTTTCTGACTGCCCACGTATCTTGTTCTCTGCGTTTGGCTGGCTCACTGGCTATCTGTCTACTACACTCTCAATACATCTGTCTCTCCTTCAGACAGTTGAGAATTTACAGGCTGTACCGAGAACTCCCGACTGCCAAACTCGGCAGTTGGGGGGTGGTGCTGCTGCTGTTGACATTAACTTACTGGCTGGGCTGAATGATTGGCAATAAACTAAATAAGTGGATTAGACCATTGTGTAACAATGATATCAAGTGAATGTGTCATTTTGGGGTTTTCTTCATCACTATACAGGATAAGCTGAGAGTTGAAATATGACATCAAAGTCAGGGATGGTTCCTTAAGATATTGTGAGTAATGTGTGTGGATGTTGCTGCTACCAAGCAAATCAACAAACACCTCACTGTTATTAATATGAATGACTTAGTGGGCTTGTAAGGAGTGTGACTTGGTGGATGATTATATATGTGTGAGTGTGGGGAAGGAAGGTGTGTAACGTGCTGAAGTCATTATCGGGTGGGCGTAACACTAAGTGAGAAGTGGGTCGGTGCAATCTGAGCTCCTCTCTTTACCTCTCGATCACATGATCTCCACATGGTGGAATATCTCGCCGACCTTTGCATTTCTGTCCACTTGTAACTTTGCTGTGTTAGCATTTTTGAGCTCATGCTACACCATCATTGCAAAACCCTGCACTCATAGGGGTCAACTGAATGTCTGAAAGGTAATTGTAAGGATTTAATTTTGCACAGGTGTGTTGGTTCTTCTCTGGCTTCTCAGTCAACGTTATTAGTGTCAATTAGCCTGCAGCATTATCAGTGTTGATTCAACCTCATTAGCGTTTCCCCCATCTCTGCCATCCTCTATAACACACACAGTCCATACGAACCCCCTCCTCAGCATCGCTTCTCTGTCTCGTAAGGTCATACACACATTTACTCACACACCAGTAGTTTCACACTACATTAGTTAGATGTATAGTTGTCCCTTGTGAAGGGCAGAACTTAGTGAGGCACACAATATAAACGTAATGTAAGCAGTGTGTCTGACTCAAGTTAAATATGGCTAGTTGTCATTTTTGCTAACATGCTCTATGTCTCCTGTTGTTAGCGGTTCAAAACTGACTCTTCGACTCCAACGAGAGTCCAAGCAGAGAACTTCCTGCTCTGTCTGACAATGACACATTTCCTTGCAGAAGCCGCTCTTCGCAGACTTAGCTTAAAATAACCTCCAGTTTGATTTAACCCTTTGGGGTCAGTGCTACTGCTAATGGGATACTCGTTCAATCAGGATTGACGAGCCAGCTGCTGCTGTGCGCCACAGAAGCCTGAGTTTCATCCCGTCTCCTGCACCGCCTGTCAATAACGTGTCCTTTTTTTCCTTTTCCCTTTGTTTATTTTCTCTGTAAGTCTCCTGGTTTCCTGCGCCTCTTCCCTCGGCTCACATGAAAGGGAAATCATTTCTCTGAGATAATTCTGTGTTAGAGTGGAGATGAAAAATAATCAGAGCAAGCATATGATGTATGCTCATAGCTGTAATGTTGGATTTGCCATTTGATACAATGAAAATAAGCCACCATTCTGCAGGCACGTCATTTGTCAGTAGCATAGTTTGTAAAGAAAACTTCAGGCAGTGTTTGTACCGAGAGTGACTTCTGCACTCTGTCATGGCTCTGAAGCATGTGTGAATATGATACGAATGCTGCATACTTCACATTCAGTCTGAGGTCATTAATTCAACGCGCAGATGACAAATTGGCAGGCAGCTATCGATTGTCAGTAATAAGTAAGGCTCCAGGGAAAGAGTCAAAACAGAATCCAAGTGTTATTTTCTCCTCATCGATTAGTTTGCCTTATATGTCAAGCGCTATCGTTTTTCTCTTTAGTTTTCATAACATGTTCTAATGTGTTACACTGGAACAACTGCTGCTTACTTTCCATTTTAGAGAGGCCAAATTGTAAGTGATCTTAAATATGTTGGTTGTAGTCCCCGCAGGTTGTTTATGTTTGGGAAGATGTTGTCCTTAACAGCATTACAGGATCGAGAGCAAGCATGAAGTCACCATCCTCAGTGGACTCAATGAATTTGTAGTGAAGTTTTTCGGACAACAAGGAAGTAAGTGTGTTCTCTTTTCTAATTAAACACATATTTTCATTGCCCTGACAAGTTGAACAAGCTAGTGATTGTGTTCCATAAATTGCTCGTAGGGTTTTTATAATGCGTTTTCATCTGATTTGTTAGAACTATAAAACTAATGAAAGAAGGTTTATGTTTGTTTCCACCACATGGGGTGTAAAGCGCTCCCACTAATGCCCTTTCTGCTAAAACTTACGATATATGAAGGGTAAACAGAGCATGACATGACAAGGAACCTTGAACTGACACCAGCCATCACAGGAATTAGTCGTAGAACACAAAGAGGTTCATCACAGCAGGCCAGGAATGTGACATGGATTGAAACCAAGACTGAGGCCACACTGTGTCAATGTGAGGAGCTAGCCTCCAGGGGAAATTGGATGAGGAGAGTGGCCTCATCATCAGGAAATACTTCTTGTGCCATTCGTAACATCTGTCTCACTGAAACCACTGCACATCGGTAAAGAGAGGAAGTTGATAAGTAACCCCGTTTATGATCCTTGTTACTGTGCCATGTGCTGCACAATACATCTTCAACAAGTGTGTTTTTAAGCCATATATGTGCTGTTCAGTATGGCACATAAGCATCACACAATATAATTTTCTTCCTCTTTGATGTTAGTGTTGTATATGAAGGAAATAATGTCCTTCATTACTGCATAAGATAAAGGAACATTTCAAAGGGAAGTAGTATGTGCAGCTCATTTCTCGAGCTGTCTTCTCTGTTGTGTTCCTGTGAGCGTGCAGAAAATAATATAACCTACACTGTGCAAATCCATTGGAGTGCATAAATGATGAAATATGATGCTGAATGGAATGAAAGTCTCTCCTCTGCCCTCAACAGTGTTCTTTTATTATTTCTGTGTACAGCTCCGTACGAGGGAGGCGTGTGGAAGGTGCGAGTAGATCTTCCTGACAAATATCCTTTCAAATCGCCATCAATAGGTAGGAGCACATGAGTGATTATAACATCAAGATAACCCTGGAACTTTTTGGGGTTCCACTTCACGTTTTCTAACACTTTCCTCTTCTCTAACTGCTTTTTCAGGATTCATGAACAAGATTTTTCATCCCAACATTGACGAAGCGTAAGTTGATTTTAGCCCTAAATCTGAAGTGTCTAACACCCATTTGAACCTTGTGTATTAAATCTTATGAGGTCTGCCCGTTGTGATGTCATGCAGGCCTACCTTATTGTCAACTAAAACCTTTGCTGAATGTGTTCATATTTCCTAATGTGTTTTACAGTATTTTCATGGGTTAGCTTCTATGACTTGAACAGATCAGCTAATGTTATGTTATCAGCCACCAGTTTTTTCACCATCGGCAGCAAATCACACCAATATAGAAATGGGTCAAGATCTTTTGTGAGTAATCCACTGCTTAAGAGGCCAGATCCCCTGAAGGACAGTGGGTGTTTCTCAATGTTGAGTAAAGCTGCTCCAAAGCCACTATTTCAAGCATACTACGTCATCGAGTGCCGCCGAAGGACTGTTCCAATGTCCAGCATACTTGGAATTCTACCGAGCCCGGCGTACTTAATACTTTAATGGGATACACCTGGATAAATAAAGGTTTGAAATGAATACTTCGTAGCGAGAAATTTCGAGGCTGCAAATGTGTAGACACTTAAAATCCCCACAATGCTTTGCGCACGGACCAATTTCCCAAAATCTATGGCGGAAAATGTAAGGCGAGGCCTCTCATATGACGCACTCTGCACACTTGCTCGCCTGTTCCACCTGTTCGTTTTCCGAATGCCAGGAAGTATTCTTGCCTCGCCTCTGAAGCAAGACGCTCGGAGGACATGTGCTACCAAGCGTACTCGAGATTGAGAAAAACACTCTGTCTCCATCCCAGACAATCATGGTTGTTAATGTCTCACTGGAGCTGCAGCGATGAAAACGAATAAGTCACGATGGCTTCTCTTTACTGATTAGCAGAGAAGCAAACTGGTTCTTAGGTGATTCGCAAGTTGAACCCACTGCTAGCTAAACTAGCCGCAGCACAGAAATGGAAGGATGCTAGTCTTTTGTTGAAAGGTGTTATTAAGTGAGAATCAAAATCAAGTTCTTACCTTCAGGCCAGGATTTAGGGGGTCCGTTGGTGGGGGGGCCCTGCATACCGGGGGGAACTCCTGCAGGTCCAGGAGGCACCATGTTAGGACCCACCATGCCTAAAACAACAACAACAAATTCATTTTTTAGGTTATTAGTGAATATAAAGACAGCTAATAAATAACACATTCCTCTCCAGCCAGCAGGTGTCTCTGCTGAGCGATAACATTCTGCTTTCTTTGTTTCAATTTTTAGCCCTTATTAAAACAGGTAAGTCCCTTTTGAATTGCCAACAAACACACAGTAGCTAATGACAATGAATATACAGGTATGGATTGAAAGAAAGAATATCATTTGGTACTGATACTTAAAATATCCTAAATCTAAGCCTAACTATTACATTTCCCCAAAACATGTATTTAATCAGACACTAGTCTGAAAAGTCTGTGTCTCAGATATATACAGAACCTGTCTCTGATTGGCTGAAACACCAAACAGATCATTGCAGCATTACCCATAATCCCCTCTGTTTCAGCCCTGTTTCCAAAGTGCTGATTCTCTGTCTGTTGCTTTAGATGAAAATAAGGAGCCCCTCCCCATGCCCCTCTGAGAGAGATTTGGTTACAAAGAACTCAATGGTGCTCTAGGAGGAGATTCAGATGATAAGGGGGGGGGGGTTACCTTGGTTGCTGATTGGCTAATGGTTACACAAGACAAAACATCGTTATGACATCATAAAGTGACCAAAATCTGATCAGCTCATTTTCAGACAGGTTTTTATAGAAATGGTTTATGATGTCATAACGATGTTTTGTCTTGTGTAACCATTAGCCAATCAGNATCTGAGTGAGCGCGCAAGCCCACCCTATATAAGGCGGCCTCGCCTCCTGACTGTCATCCTTTTCTCTTCAGCGAGCAGGATAAACAACTGAGAGAGCAAAAGAGAGAGAAGAAGATCGAGCAAAGAATGGAAAACTCACCAGTCCTCGAGCACCGACCCTGTCCTACGTGCACCGGCCTAATTGCAGGTGCCGATCCCCACCACCTATGTTTCCGTTGCCAGACATCTGGCAGTGTGTGGAGGCGACGTGGCGACAGCCACTGACAACGAGGGCTCCAGTGGCTGGTATGACAGGTATCTTGAGGGTGCAGGGCTGCCATAGTCAAATCCTTCTTTTTTTAAATAAGACTATAGGCCAAAACCAAGTCGTATTTATCTTTTAAAGACTTAGAAAGAGATATTAATGCGTTCGTCACCTCAAAACTGGATTACTGCAACGCTCCTGGCTGGGTCCATACCTGGCTGGGTATGGACCACGTGGGTTTTTCCCTGTGTTTTTTTATCTGTTGTAATATATTGTCTTTTATTGTGATTGTAGTAATGTGTTTTTATTACATGTACAGCACTTTGGCGCGACCAAAAATGGCTTTTAAATGTGCTTTATAAATAAAACTTGATTTGATTTGATGCTGCTCGCTGAAGAGGGTGTAGGATGACAGTCAGGAGGCGAGGCCTGTGCTTATATAACTGGGGTTACAGTGCGTAACCCATCGTTTTCATCATTGCAAATCTATTGCAATTAATTCTGCTATTGATTTATTGATTCCTGCGCACTGTATCAAATAGGTTCCTGGAGCAGGATGTCTGTATAAGCACATTTAATCTGCAATATAAATAGTTTTCATAAGGGACTGGGTTTCATAGTGTGACAGAACAGACCATCCTGATCGTCTTTTCCCACGCTGACTGTAATATTTCCCTCGCCCCCACTTGCTTCCATCTCTCACTGAATTTATCCTCGATCACTTTCCTATCCCCTCAGACAGACCCCTCCATTTCCTTCTCTCATCTTCAGAGGCGTTACAGACGACTGGGACGGTTCAACCAAAGTCGTCGTCAAACGGCCATGTGATCAATGGGGGGTTTTCAGGAGGCAAAACACGTAGCCACAGCTGGTCAATTATAGAAAGAACAATACCCACACACACACACACACACACACACACACACACACACACACACACACACGCACACACACACACACACACAGTGAAAGTGGCTGGCCTTTAAAAACAGAGTTACTTTTCGCCTCCCATCAGCTCTTTTTCTACAGCTTCAAATGGATCAGCATCAGGGAATCTTGGCAGAGATAACAGCTTGGCTTTGATGGAAAAAGCTGTCCAGTCAAGTAAGTCTGGTATGTAAAAGGCAGTGTATCACATCTGGTGAGAAAGACAAGATAACTTTACTGTAATATTGACTTCTTTATGGTACTGTTCTGCTCTACAAGCACCCAGCATGAGAACAGCAGTCCCTGTTACTGAATTAGCATTGGGAGGAAACAAACACTCAAAACTCAGAGATTTTGAGACAAAACTAAATAAAGCTCATTAAATCAACAAGAGAACATTGTGCTGTTAAGTATGACAGAGTGAGTCAGTGGCATCAAGATATGCACTTCTTCCAAGCATTTAAGCATGGGTTAAAACAGCTGTATCTATTAGGGTCATGGTGTTAGTGCACAGTTTGTAACTAATAGAATGTCAGGCTGGGTATTTATTGGGAAAATTTAATTTCACTCGGCTTACCAAATTTCAATAGAGAGTAAAAAATATGACTGTTTGGTTGGAAACATAATTCTTAAGATCAGGACTCTTTTTTGTGATAATGATGATGTGGTGTCATCAACACACTATGTTTAAAGACAAAATAACCTTCAATATTGATAAAGACACAAAGCAGTATAACAATAGGAAATAATAGAATATCATCATGATCATGATAATCTGCCCATGTCACTTCCTGCAGGCGTGTACAAAGCTCAGCACTTTCCCTTTGTCAGTTATTGCAATGTCATCTCTCTGGAGAGCCAATTGTTGCTTTTACAAGGTGCCTTGCTATAGCATAGCAGCACTAGCTCACAATGTGTAGTCTGCTCATGATGTTTAATCCCGCAGTTAAAAAAAACTGAGCTTGCAAGATGAACAGCAGCCTGGTTTTATGAGGCTATACTCCCCTGTTTGGCAGGTGTTAAACGAGCATTCATGGCACAAAACAAGCCGACAGGGGCCCAATTATCCCGGTCACAACAATCAGCATGTGTGAAGAGGCATCAAAGTACACCTGCGACACATCTTTTTACGTCAAAGTGTGCAGATTTATGACAATATTTCCCCTGCCATAGTTCTCAATTGTCTCTTCATGCATTTAATTGTGTTCCGTTCTCCTTTCCACAGCTCTCGCCCTCAATGTCAACAGTATGTGCTTAAAGCTGGTTATGTAATAATGAGTCTATAATCAGGTTCATTACCTACACAGCATTTCCAATCAGGCATTGGAAGACATTGTGAAGGAGTAGAGACAGACCCTTGATAGAGAGACAGCACACTGATGGTTGTTTCACTCCATCTTCTCTTTACAATCTCTGCTTGTTTTTTCCCATTCAACCTGTTTTTCTTGCCCTTTATTATCATCCTCCCTACACTCCCGTTTCTATTGACAAAAGGCTATGCTTGGAGAATAAAGGCAAAGCCTTGACTTGATTATCTATAATGAAAACACAACTCTCCCTCTTTTCTTCCAAACTGGAATACAGTGGCGAACTCGCTCCCTTTCAAAGTCTTGCGTTGGAACAATTTCCCTCAAAAACACCACTAATAGAACATCAGAAAATAAGATAGAGGGAGAGGGGGATAGCAGAGTGTAGGAGTGAAGTTGAAGGAAGATAAACATGTTTCTCGCAGCAGGTAAACATAGACAACTGGAGACAAAATATGGAATCAATACGTGACTTTAAATTAGCTCTATCTCTTCACATTCCCTCCAGCTGAATGTTGCGGTGAGGAGAACTTCCATCCTAATATCCAGTTAAATAGCAGAAAGCATTCATCACTGACAACATCCTTTCCCAAATCCTCCAGGGAGTGGATCTACAAGAAGGAATGCTGCAGCGGCGACTTCTGAGCCAGCCAATGACAGGACAGCTGTGAAGTTGTGAGATCACCTGGAAACCGTTGGCTGTGACATCAAAGCAGGGGACTGATGTCGAACCAATGCAATTACACCTACTCACCTACAATTTCTCACGCTTTAGTTTGCAATGCAACCACTGCTTTCACTCACCCACCATGTCCTTGTGTTCTTTTAGAAATGTTTAGATATTTTTCTTTGTACGCTTTGTGAAAATGGAAAAGACATATCCAGACTGGACTATTAGTAATTATTATTATTTATATTGTTATTCTTTATTGAATTTATAATAAATTACAATGCACTTTACTGCTTCTTTTTGCCCTTTTGGTTAGATGCTAACTGCGTCTTGTTTTCTCAGAACTTGTACTCTGTGCAATGACAAAAAAAGTGTCATCTAATATAACTAAATACATGCCCAAGTGAATAATATAAGCAAAATGGAACACATTTTTTAGGAAATGACATTAATAGTTTAGCTAAAGAAAGTAAGAAACCACTGCATCACGTTATAGTTTTTGCTGCAGACTTTAGTTTATGATTTTGCAGCATGTAAGTTAAAAGCAACCTATCAAAATGTAAGCAAATAAGTCAATATAATGCAGAGAATGATAAGAGCATAGATATAGGATTCTGTTTGCTCCAAGATATGAGATGGAAGTCATCTCTGAATGTTCTCAGGGTAAATATGAATGAATGTGTTGTATGATTCAGTGGGCATGACTCGGCAGAGCAGCAGAAGAGCATACAGCAGTTTGGGTTTGGGGCGATGCACGGTGCTGCAGTGCCCCCTGCTGACCTGCACCATACCTCACCTGTTTCAGCCCAAATATGAAAGAGTGGAAAAGTCAAACAACCTTGGGGAACAGAAGATACTTGATAATGAAGTAGATGTATTCCATCAGTGTTCTTTCTGTTCTTTGACTGAAATGATATAAGGCAGGTTCACATTACCACAGGAATGCTGAGTGTGCCAGGAACATTTAACACTTTGACTTTGAGCGGTTGAACCCTAGGGGCTAGAGATTGTTGTCTGCCTGAAACAAACCCATAAAACTGCACACTCACTCTCATATGTACCACTAAGCTGCCCTTAAGCAAGGCAATTTTTTTCTTGCATGTATAAAATGCTTTAAAATGGACTGAAAGTGATTAGAAAACTATCAAGGAGTTGTATTGGACTAACTGGAGATGAACTTGGTACCCAAGAGACTTGATAAAGATGGATTTACAAACTTTAAATCAATTTAGCACGAGGCAACACCTGCTGCTCCAAATGGTAGCAACTCTTTTTAAGTAAAGTTTTAACTTCAGAAATCATGTAATGAGACATCTGTAAACTCTACACAACATGCTCATGTTTAACAACCCAGCTGGTCTATGCTGCCTTATAATGAGACAGAAAGTTAAAGATATACTATCTATCCATCACTCATTCAAATGTAGACTTCTTCTTAATTATACACAACGCTAGACCTTCATTTTAGCAAAGGAAGATGAATACTTCAATGGAGTGTTTTTTAGTGACCAGAAGACTGAGGTTGGTATCATGTACAGTACAGTAGGTAGAGGACTTGAGAAGATATTTCCTTCCCCACCACCTTCTACTTCTCTTCTTCTACTACTCTTGTCCTGACCTCTCTCCCAGGCTTTTGACAGACCACACAATTACCTTCAATTATCCTCACTTCCACCTCACCAATTACATCCATTATTGATTCCAGACCCCTACGGCTGTAAAGCCTTATCTATAGCAAACCACAGCCCACGAAGGAGAAAGCAGAATACGACCAAATAAAAGGACCTTGTTTCATTAACAGTCCTCCAGCTTTTCACTCCATCTACGTCACACAATCACCTACAGAAACAGTTTCCACTGCAGTGCCCTTGAGAAATTAATAAATGTATGCAACATCAGTGCCTTCTAAGTAGCTATAACTTTGCCAATATAATATGCAAACCAGAATGCAAGGTAGTTACCAATTTTTGTAATCATTAAATTGTCACCAGTGTCAGCAAACGTGATAAAGAGCTGGTCTTTTCAAAGGAAAACCAAACTAAACCATTGTAAACTCTGTAAGCAACAGTGTGAAGTGTACCCATCTGTTTCCGACCGTAGTTTGACCGTCATGTATCATTAGGAGATACTGGACTAATATTATGGCATCCTGTATGCAGATGCTGAAAGCATTACAGTGAGACAGTGTAGTGTGAAGGTCAGTTCCACAGTACGGAAGCTGTAAAATGTGGAGTCACACTTTGCGGCTCTTGCCAGATTTTTGAATATGATACTGGCTGACATTTAGTGAGACACAAACATTAGCTGCTGTCACCACACACTAATGTAAAACATCCATCATCTTGAATGCACGCCAGGGCACCTGCAGAGAGCTGCAACATCTCCTGTTACTACAGACCTGAGAGGCTGAGCTCCAAGAGGGATTTCTAATGCAACGCTGCCCCCTTCAGGTGTCTCTTTAGGTTATGGCTGCTCAGCTGTGATGTGTCATCGGAGCATTGCATTTTTAGTAAGGTTTACACTCAAGAAGGCATACAACACATAGAGAACCTTACCTTTCTAAGTCAGCTTTACCATGGACCTTGAGGCACCAACACAAATTGTCCATCCCACTTTATGGCCCGTGTACCTATTTGGATTACAAAGGGTGAGAGGTTTTTAGAATGAAGGAAGTCCAGTATACTTTAAACTTATGGTAGTATGACCAAATATGTCAGGAATACATGTTATTCCTTCATGAATCCTGAAACAGAGACACATTTCGTTTGAATGTTATATAAACCGGATATAGTCACAGTTAACTGGCAATGATATTAAGATTTTACCTTTCAGATTTATTAGACATCACTGTCACTAGTAGGACATTTGGATGGAGCAGGTTAAGCTAAAAGAGAAGCGAGAACAGGCTGCTCAGTTGTCATGTTTTTGTAGGAGTACTATCATACACTCGCTCAGTAAATGTGGTTAAGTACTAGTACATTTTTGAGGTACTTCTACTCCACGACATTTTGGCAGCAAATATTGCACTTTTTACTCATTACAATTATTTGACAACATTAGTTACCATTTGCACTATTTACAGGTTCATATTATTAATAAAATAAGTGAAATCAACTAATACACTGATGTGATATTATGGTGGGCGATACCTGGCTGTTTACAAAGTTGTTAACGTCATCCCAATCTTTGCCAGCTGCAAAATTAAAATGAGAGACACACATGGCTAATTTCAGGGGTGGAAGATGTAGTCAGATCTTGTACTTAAGTAAAAGTAGAAGTACCAGAGTGTAGGAATACTCTGTTACGTAAAAGTCCTGCATTCAAAATGTTACTCAAGTAAAAGAACAAAAGTATTAGCATCAAAATATAGTTAAAGTACCAAAAGTAGTGATTGTGCAGATTGGTCCATTTCAGAATAATATATAAGATATGTTTTATAACTATTGATCATTAAAAGGAGTAAAAGTGCACCATTTACTGCTGAAACATAGTGGGGTAGAAGTATAAAGTAGCAACAAATTAAAATACTCAAGTAAAGTACAAGTATCTCAAAACTGTACCTAAGTACAGTACTTGAGTAAACCTACTTAGTCACTTTACAACACTGGCTTCTTTTAAACCAGAGATATACTAATACTTGTGTACTTTTACTTAAGTAATATTTTTGATTGCAGGACTTTTACTTGTAACAGTACTCCTACACTGCGGTATTTGTACTATACTTAAGTATAAGATCTGAATACTTCTCCCACCTCAGCTCACTGATTCATTTATTAGGTAGAGCTATCTTAAACTCATGCATTTGGACACAACAGCCCTGCAATTTTGAGTTTGAGGTTCTGTTGAAATGTAATGTGATCATTGTCTCTAAAACAGATTCAACACTTAGGATTCCTTGTTAGTTTTTTGTATAAACTTCATTAGCTTTAGCTAGATGTAGGTTAGGCCTAAATGGAAATGCAAAATAATGCACAGGTTCTTCTGTAAACATCTGCTGTGAGAGTCTAGGTCCCATGAGAAAGATTGTGAAAATGTGGATTTAGAGATGTATCTCTAGTAAATGTGTCCTAGTACATTGCTTGTTTGAATAATGTTTTTAAACGGAAATTCTACATAGAAATTAGCAACGTGTGCCTGAACGACACAGGTTTTTATTGATTGTAATAAATGTGTTTCGGTTGAGAAACATTAACTTCATATTGGTGATTATTTCCAAAATTAACATGAGTCTATCTTAACAGCAACGCTACATGACAGCGTGAACTGTCTGTTTTTGTTTATGTGTTTATAATATAAAGTTTATATCCTTAAATGAAGAGAACTTTACCTCACACGGTATGGTTGAGCTCACATCCATGGTTGAGGGGCCAGCTTCGGCAAAAGGGGGCGTGGTTTGACAGGTCTTGTGTGGCGTTCAAGAACTATCGTACATATTATTCACAATCAATGGTGCAAAAATGACCGATATGGATTTAATAGCAAGGCACGAATCTTTATAATCGGAAAAAGCAAATGTGTGATTGCCTAGGTTTCTTAATATGAAGAGTAGCTCATAGGGACATGGAAACGTTGACAGCAATTGTTTACAATGTGATATATTATATTACATTCTCTGTAGCCTACTATTTTTCCTTTTTATGTTGTAATCATAGACTGTATAAAGGTTGTAATGCATTATGTAAAATATGTCTTTGTGTTAGGGATGTATTAAAGACAACACAATACTTTCCTTATCTTATGTCGATGCTGCTTTTGTATTTGAAATATCTTTATCTGTAATTCACAACAGAATGGTTTCATACATTCTCTAGAGATTTGCAACTTTTTGTTAAAAATACAAGGTAATCAAAACACGGTTTATATTTCAGATGCAAGTTCTCCGGCGATTCTGGAAGAAGTCGTAAGTAGTCATAAGAATATCGGCACAATGTGTTATTTTTGATAAAACTAAATGCATGAACAAAAACCTCCTAGAAAGCTGCTTTATGCCTTAATTTTTGGCTAAAAGCGCTCCGAAATGAACGTCTGATTGTATGCATTGTGAATGTATAAAATAGCAGCTCGGGAGGGCACCTGAAGGCACCACCAGTGCAGTGCTGTTTGCTGCTTACTCCCCTCTGTCGTCCATTACAGTTCGGTACCATCTGTACGCGCAGGCCCGAAGTAGCGCAGCCGCTCTGAGGTTAGTGCCCTACCGCGCAATCTCCATCTATTTCTGCCCCGGCGCAGCCGCACCATCAACCCGGCAGCGTTGGGGCGAAAGATGCAGATTGTTTAGATGTTGACTACAGCAGACTTATGACACAGATATGGCTTTTGTGCGGAATCATTTTGTAGGCGCGTATCGACAAGAAGCTGAGAAAGAGTAGAATAGAGACGTAGGCCGCTGGGCCTGCTTAGCGCTGTGTTTTGTTTCATATTGCGCGGGTTTAGTGCTAGCTGCTGTTGCGTTACCAATGTTTAACTGTTACCTTTCACTGCACACTGAATTCATCCGTGATCAGTGTGCGAACATCGGGAGATTGTCGATGTTAACGATTATTGCTAATGTCCATTCAGATGACCGATGCTACACCGCCAAATGGTTAGCTAGCTAGCTTATTAGCCAAATGTAGGACACAGCTAGCTTAGCTCTGTTTGGCTGTCGATGTGAAGCAAGCCGGCTAACATGAGAGCACTGTAACGCATGATCAGTTACAATGTCTATTTAATACAGTTAGTCATGAGTAGTTACTATTTGATAGGGATTTTACTTTATTACCGGCCTTAGATATGATTAAACGCCAATGTTATTGTCGAGTCGTGCATCATCCCATTGATTCACACAGTCCATGTTGATGTTACAGATGATACTGCATGCCCATAAACCTGTCTGGCTGCTGCAAATGCCATCTTTTCCCTCCTTAGGCTTATTAACTTTGCATTTGTCGGTAACAACTCCCGTCCAAGAATACTCAAGACAAAGCAATGGTGTATTATACAGAACTGTTTAAATAAATATCATATACCTTTATATCAGCTTCCCACTATGAATCAATTATACAGGCTATCCCCAGTAAACCGAACCTGTGGACATTTCTCTCAAAAGCCTGTCTACATTGACCATGTATGGATTAAGTCATACATTTCTAAGTGTGAAGAATAATATTATATGTATGCATTTAGTGAAACCCTATTGTATGAGTGTTGTTTAGCCCCAAATTGGCAGACATACAGTTGTTCCATTCCACACACAGATGCTCTTCAACACTTTATATTCTGAATGACTTCTTGCTCTTATATTCATTAAACAATCAGTTATTCCCTTTGAATCTGAATTTAAACTGTAAATGTCTAAGAGTGCTAAGTATGATCTATTAACGAGTATCATGTGTGTAATGCCCATTATTCTCTTGTAAACCCTTATTTTATATAATATTATACATTATATATACATTATTTTCATACATTGATCACAGTGGTGTTATTCCTGATGGAAGTATTGATGCCGTATGAAGCCCTCTAGTGGCAGAGCAGCAGTCAGTGCACCACACACTTTACACAAGTTCAGAGCTGTAATAAGGAGACTGATGAGTATTGTGCATTGATGTTGTTGAACACACTATGAACATACATTATGTGCACACATATGCATTACATTGCTTAAGTTTATTTTTCATGGACTTGCATTTATGATGCACTTATGTATACAAAATACATGCAGTGTCTTGAAAGATTCAAGTACCATGCAATAGTTGGGATTGATTCGTATGTTCTTTGAATATTTTGGTCATTAGCTATTAATTTGTTGTGATGAGAATAATTGAGTTGTATCATATGATTTTAAGCATACTTCAATGCATTATGGTAGCAATATATATTTGAGGAAAGCTGCTACTACATGTTTTCATTTTGTATGTGCAATACTATGCATCAGCTACACTTCTTATATCAATACAGCAGGAATGACTCCTATACAAGTTCTCTGCTATTAATGAATACAGGGAAATTACTCAGGCACCTTGTACAGTAGGGGTAAAACACTGCTCTTTCCTCTCTCTCCTCAGTCATTGTACCGTGGATACAGCCGTGTACACCAGGTGGCCCATAATGGACGAACACGTCGTTCACCAGACAGAACACATGACCACCATCGAGGCTGGTGCCGTCAGCCAACAGATCCAGCAGGTTCAGGTTATTCAGGATTTAATTTTTCGCATATCAGCAGAATGGCTAATGGAAAACAGGAAGCCCTATTATTCTAAAGAGTTAAAAATCAAATGTAACCCATTGGTTCTTGGATCATTGTGTATAGGTACATGTGACCACGTATACCGAAGCGTCCATGATGAGCGCTGACGAAGACTCAACGTCCTCACCAGATGATGATCCTTATGACGACACAGACATCCTGAACTCGGCGGGCACTGATGAGATCACTGCGCACCTGGCTGCAGCAGGTACGTCTACACTGGGCTATAGAGAGAAGTAGAGCGTCTGGGGCCTCCAAATGAGTGAGAGTGGGATTAACTTGATAAGAAACATCCATCAACACTTCCCAACGGAAGTCTGAAAGACAAGTAGATGTTATAATCTTGCATGTTGGATTTTCCTTATCCAAGAATCACATTTATAGTGCCTGAGTTCAGTGTAATGCTTTTAAATGAACAGCAGGGGGTGCCAGTGGGCTGTTTTGTGGAGGCAGTGCCACTAGAAGGCCCCCTGATAATGCTTTATTTGATTTTCCCTTGTAGTTTTTAAGGGCCCAAATGATGCCATTGTGCCACCATGGCAACTCGGCTCAATTTAAAATCTAGCCTACTTTTGAAAAGGAATAGCAAATCAAATGTGTTAAATCAAAAATAAGAAGATTTGAACGTGTACATTCAAGATGAAGATGATAAGCTCAAGAGAGTATTGAACAGAATTCAAGAACTCTACAGATTGTAGTTCCTTGTGATTTCTAGCCTTTATTTGTACTTACAGTCCAACTTTCTCTTTCTCTCTCAGGGCCAGTAGGCATGGCGGCTGCTGCTGCCGTGGCAACTGGGAAGAAAAGAAAGAGGCCTCATGTCTTTGAATCTAACCCCTCCATCCGCAAGAGGCAGCAGACCCGTCTGCTCAGGTGAGCCTGAACACCAGGAAACATGTCCTAGTACTGCACTCTGTATTGTCCATCAACAGTTACCATAACTCAGAAGTATTTTACATTGCATCTGATTTGGCTCTTCATATTAGATTTATATCTTTCACTGTCAATATGTATATATTTCTTTTCTTTTCTTTTTTTGATATGTTTTATAGATTTTTTTTTTTTTTTCTACCCTTTTGTAGATGTAAAATGCCTTGTTTTATCATACCCAAATTGGGATCAATAAAATAAATCTTAACTTGAAGCCCCTTTCAGCAGCTGGGATCAGTGTTTAGAGTCGCTGTTGTGCTTCAGGGCTTGTATTGTGATCCGGAGGTAAAGCATGGTGTGTGTTTACAGGAAACTCAGAGCCACCCTGGATGAGTACACAACCAGAGTGGGCCAGCAGGCCATAGTGCTGTGTATCTCCCCCTCTAAACCCAACCCTGTGTACAAGGTGTTTGGGGCTGCTCCTCTGGAGAATGTGGTGAGTGTTAGCTTCAGTTATTCACTATGAATTCTGTTAGATGTTTATCAGTCAATTCACTTCCTGATGATTGAACCACCACCTAGCAAATGCTTCTGATACCAAACTGATCCAGTGTGGTTTGTCCTCCAGGTGAGGAAGTATAAGGGCATGATATTGGAGGATCTGGAGAACGCTCTGGCTGAACACGCCCCCCCTGGAGGAGATCTGGCCTCAGAGCTGCCCCCCCTCACGATCGATGGTATCCCTGTCTCTGTGGACAAGATGACCCAGGTCAGGCTCAATACTGTCTGTGCTTGTACTGAACTTTATTTATTTAGGATCAACCTCTTGAGATGAACCGTGTTGTTATGGGGGGGTCCTCCTAACATATAGTACAAACAGCAAGACAGTCAAAACACAAAAACAAAATGACAACCAGATCAAGTCACAAAAAATACAACAGACAAGACTACTACAATCACAACACAACAATTAGAAATGAAACATTTGAACATAACCACATGGCCACAGAGAAGCCATGAACAAATACATTTGACCTGCAAATACTTATTGGGGTTTTGTCCATGCATTTGTTTAATCAAAATATCACATTGCGCCGATTGATTTATGACTACATTAGTATGAATTACAAATAAAGATATTTCAAATAAAAAAAGCAACATCTACATAAGCCAAATACCAACATGGTGTTTTCTTACGTGTTAAATAATCTATAGAATGTACAATTCACCTCAAAATAAGAAGACGAAGCATTTGAAAACATTTGAATCGAAATGAAGTGTCGTATATCTTATCTATTCTCGTCTGAAAGGAGATGGCCTATTTCTCAGTTTTCCAACCAAATTCCCTTCTGGTGTCTGAGACTCAAACACAGAGTGGACGGTCCCAGCAGAGGGCAGCGTTTGGCAACAAATCCGATTCTCACATTGTGTTTTATGTCCTAAGTTTAGCCAGGTACTGCATATACTGTATCAAGGTCAACTGCCTTTTTTCAGCTGTTTCTGGATGTCTATCAGCGTCACTTAATGAACGTTCTTTTAAATACTGTAATTTAACTTTACGGTGAAGAGGACTTGTAACTCAGTCAGACTGTATTCTTGATGCCTCCTCCCTTTGCTAGACAGGCTGCGGTACCAGTGAGGGGGGGGGGGGGTGCAGAGCAGACTGCACTTAGAGGCCTTTCACTGCAACATTTGCACCATCCTCTCTGAGGGGACCTGGCTTGTTTACTCCGTCCCAGTGCTGCCGACGCATTCTCTGGATCATCGTCAGAGCAGCCAGCATGATAGGGCCCAAAGAGACGGTCCTCAACCCTGGGAGGACGGTAGCCAATCCGAGGGGCGGATGTTTCCTCGGGGGGCGGGTGTTAGTTGGTGCTTGTTTTTCTGGAGGTTGTCGGATGAGATTACCGTGAGTAACCTGTCACTCAGGTGGAAAGGTGAGGGTGTTGTGGAGACAGGATGTTGTCCCGTCAAAATGTACCTTGGAAATAGCAAGTTTTCACATGAAAACTCTTGTTCTGTTCCATAAAAGACAGGGCTTATTGTTCACTATGCAGACATCTGAAGTAGGTTTTACAAAGCTGAAGAAATCCCAAGTGAGGTGTAGTGATGCAAGGCCGGTATATAAAGCATCTGCAGCAGGTGATCCCGGTCCAGCCTGAGCCCATAATTACCCCCCAGCCTCGTTAGGGACAGGGACCCGGCAACATAGGCTCCTTCCTAAATGCTGATTGGACAATTGCTTGGTGGATTAGGATTGGGGGGGGGGCGGGGTGGTGGGTGCGAGCATAACACGCCACTTAACTCACGAGCCACTGTAATTAGGCCATCTGGCCCAGCACGCATGCATCACATACATCCACACACAGATAAGCCACAGGTGGAAAAGGCAAGCATCTTTTTGCCACTAAATCCGTCTTTCTGGGGTTAATCCAAGTTCCTCTGTCAGGTATAAAGTGCCGTCTGAAGTAAAGCCCCTGTAGCGGATGCGTGTTTTTCTAAAGCTGGCGTGCTTAAGTATTGTCCATCCGTTTTCTATCAGGATCCACTTTGTTGTATCTTCCTACACAAAAGGTTTGTGATTATCAGTTAGAATACGTGGTCTAAGGGGGGGAGGGATGGATTTATTTCTCTGTGTAACCACATTTTGCCCGTGATGTCAGGCAGGCAGACGCTGCAGTGCCTCATTGTGCAATATAATCCCCTGGTGATGCATATTACCAGGGCACTGAGGACACTAAACCCCCCCCAGCCTGTCGGTGAGCGTGAGGACAGGCGTGTTCTTGAAACGGTGAAGCTGTGGCATGTCGCTCACTGCCACACATTTAGCATGTGTGCTGGGTGATCAATAGCCAACCAATCAGATGCCCCCACTCCCTGCTTTGCAGCACATGGCAGTCTCCTGGAGCCTTCTGTGCAGTGTTGCTGACAGAGCAATCAGAACAGGGAGAGTAGATATGACACAATAAATAATGGCCAATATTTTATAGGAAGTTCTTGACTCTCAAATAAATAATCTCTTAAATCCAACACCAAGTAACTAGTTCTAACCACCTACTTTAAAAAATGGCAATATATTGGACTCAGTAATACAGTCAATCTTTAATAATAAAATAATAACTTGAGTCTCTACAGTTCCATAACGTAGTATAAGTGATCCAAATCCAATCCAATCCGAAAGCACTGACAAACCTCCAGACCAAAGTGCTGTACAGAGAGATACATCAAATATAAAATCACACGGCTCAGCTCACAAAACATAAAATAAGTATAAAATCACATAAAAGGTACAAACACAAAACAAACCAGAATAAACGTAACAATTACAAAAATAAAAACAGCCATATAGTAAAAACAATAGACCAGAAAATAAAATAAATCTAATGTTTTTGTTTGACATTGATTTTTGTACAAATATTGACCAGCTTGTCCTTGTTAGTACCTGAGTGTGCTGGAGCCTTAGCTTGTACAGGTTGACTGCTGGATCCCCCCCCATGCCCCCTCAGTGTCTCACCAGGCTGGAGCCACAGCCATAGATTGGTCTGTTAGCAAACATGATCGCATTGTTCTCCTTTTAGAAAGCCTGTTTCTATTTGCAGGCGTTGGCAACCTCAGCAGCAGCTTCCCGATCAATACTCACCTCCTGCTTCCTGCTCAAGGGCGTGTGAGCCTGGGAGAGACACTGCGGCTCTCCACTTTGGAGTTCTGCTCTGCTTCGTCTCATTTCTCTGCGCTCCTCTCCTCAGGCCCAGCTGCGAGCGTTCATCCCTGAGATGCTGAAGTACTCGACGGGCCGGGGGAAGCCTGGTTGGGGGAAGGAGAGCTGCAAACCACTGTGGTGGCCGGAGGACATCCCATGGGCCAACGTCCGCAGTGACGTCCGCACCGAGGAGCAGAAACAGAGGGTGAGAGAAATACTCAAGTTATGACGTCATACATTATCAGTCTTTGCAGGGAAATGCTGCAACCCGTTGTCCCATCCTTTACATTGGTAACTATAGGTAACAAGCAGATTCCAAGAGATGCAACATGATTTGTTGTAGTCTAGTTGCCTGACCAACTGCAACCTATAATGTGGCATTCCATGTCTGTAGTCCTTTATGCAGACTGTAGAATCATTTGCCATGTTATCATGCATTTCCCAAGGTGTCTTGGACGCAGGCGCTGCGGACCATCGTGAAGAACTGCTACAAGCAGCACGGCCGGGAGGATCTGTTGTACGCTTTTGAAGATCATGTGATCACGACCACCACCACCACCCAGCACCACCACCACCACCACCTGACCAACGCCAGCATCGCTCACCTGGTTCCCTCACAGACGGTGGTACAGACCGTCAACAACCCCGACGGGACAGTGTCGCTCATCCAGGTAGCATTTACTTCCTCTCTTTGTCTTAAAAGTTCTTAATGTTTTTTTTTTTTTATCCAAATCACATTCAGTAATTTAAGTTCTTGTGTGCACCACTATCCCAGGTTGGCACAGGGCACACAGTGGCCACCCTGGCAGACGCCTCGGAGCTGCCCGGGGTGACGGTGGCGCAGGTCAACTACGCCACAGTGACTGACGGAGAGGTAGCAACCACTAGAGCATCCCATGTTCATCCCTTGTTCTGTACAGTAGTATAACACATTCTGATCGTTTACTACACACACAGACTGTAGAACGAATGGTCAAACCATTTTAGTGTCAATGCATGAGTCATAGAAACAAACATTTAGGGTGATTAATGGGAGCTGTCCGTTCAGCACCACAACATCTAAGCCAGCCAGAGGATATTATTGGTCGTTTTCACGTTGTCTTTTTCTTCTCTCTAGATACTTATTTGCTTTGTGTTCTTTTTATATATTGTTCCTTTCCAGGTGGATCAGAACTGGGCCACCCTCCAGGGTGGTGAAATGACGATTCAGACCACTCAGGCCTCGGAGGCCACGCAGGCAGTCGCATCTCTGGCAGAAGCTGCGATCGCCGCCAGCCACGAAATGCAGTCCGGAGCCACCGTCACTATGTCTATGAACAGGTGAGGGTGGGGGAGAGAACAAGTTATTTTACAAGGGAACAAGGCTTTTAGAGTCACAACTCATAAGATATTGGATGTTAGGTGGCTTGTACTTTGTTGGGCCTGAAAGATTTCTTTTAGATATAGACCAGAGAACCATAATTACATTGGAGTGATTTAAGTTTAAAAGATTTGAAAGGCTCATGTCCCGGTCTACAATTCTTACCTCCTCACGTAAAATGGTTTAATAGGGAAAACAGAGGTGGGATTGTTTGAATTGTCCACACTTTTCATAAGGAGAACCTGTATCTGGTGATCAGCTGTCACTGACACAGTCCTGGAGGAGTCCAGGTGGAGTGCAGCCAGCAGAGCAAACAGACAGATCCTAATGATTGGACTGAGAGTGTGACCACTGTCAGGACCGTCGCCTGGAGAGGAACCACCTGCCGTAGTAGTTCAGCTTCCAATGACTTAGGCTCTCAGCACATTCATTCAATAAACTCCTACCCTTTTATTTGGGCCAACGACCTAATCGAATTTCCTTTACAAAAAAAAGTTGGTGCAGTTGGAAATGAAATGACACGAAGCATTCAAACTTGTTTTCAGGAACTACCTGTCATCGCAGTTTAGCTTCTAATTAATGAGCCTGTTGAATTATTAAGGCCCTTTGCTGATTCATTCAATCAACTGCTACCCTTTTGCATCACATGTAGTTGGTGCAGTTTGAAATAGAATTACAGATAAAATAGCTATTCAAACAAGTGTTTTATTTAATAAAATATAAGGTATACTACCGTACAGCACCTATAGATTGTCCTGTTTTCAGCTGTGGGGGTGTTGTTGTTGTTGCCGTAATGTTTTCTTGAGGGAAATCAGCCACTCGATTGTATTCAGATGGGATCTCCAACAGGATCTTAAATCATGTCCCAGGGAGGGCCAGCCGTCTGCAGTGTCTGATTACAACGCAGAACAGAGCAGCTTGAAAGTCTGCTCATCTATCAAATAAGGTGGGGGGTCTTTGGCTGCGGCTGACACCTTTAGCTTCTTCCTCATCCTCATTTTTGATATTCATGATCCTACAAATGACAATTAAAGATCTTTATCTTGCTTTGATTTAAACATGGTAGCTGGTTCTCCCCTGCAGTGATGTCAAGGCATTAATGTGTAAGGGTTTGTCCCAGTGGGGCTTGTTACCTGCCTCCACCTGAGTCCACCCCCCCCACCCTCTACTGTTTACCTGTGCAGAGCATCTCTGGAACATTTTGTCTCTGCTTCCCAGCTCCACAGGGAGTTAAGATCCTCTTTCTCCCACCGTCTCTTTTTTGCTGTGTGACCAAAATTGGCACCACCTTGAGTTCCAAAATACATCGGCCCTGCTCGACTTCACATCACCCCCTTGCTGCAGAAACTCCACGGGCTCCCCATCCCTTAACACATTCATTTCAAAATCCCCATCCTCACTCAGAAAGCCTTCCATAACCAGGCCCCCTCCCACCTCACCGACCTGCCCCATAAACACACTCCTTCCTGCACCCTCCACTCCTCAGACGCCGACCTTATTATAAGCGTAACAAGTAAAGCATCTTATTGCCATGCTTTGACTCTTTTAACTGCATTTGTGTAAAAACAGCAACCTATAGAACTGTTTACCACAAAACAGAAAACAACACAATGTGAAAAAGGCTCAGTATTTAAGGCGGTATGAGAAGCCTTTTTTCTACCAGGGATGTCCCGATCACCTTTTTTTGCTCCCGATCCGATTCCGATCATTTGATTTTGACAATCTGCCGATACCGATTTTTCCCGATCCGATCTTTATGCAATGCATTAAGAGAAAAAAAAGGTAACAGATAACGGCTGGTCATCCAACACGATGAATTCAGCTATCTTGGCTGTTATTTTGTTCTGGGGCAGTTTCTCTTTCCTTTTTAAAAGTGTCGGTTGTTTCAGTGCCGTTACCTGAGTGGCCGCTGTGTACTCGTCGTGTTGTTGTTGGTGTTTGTTTCTCAGGTGGCGTATTAGATTGGTCGTGTTGAACGTAGCTCTGTTCTTTCCACTACGCGGAACCTACGCCTTGCAAACATTGCATCTGGCTTTTACACTGCCTTCGCTTTCAATTTTATAATACTTCCAAACTCCTGACATTTTCTCTGTCCCGACTCCCGAGTCACCAGCTGAACGTAGCCTCTCGTTAGCTTACTGCTACTATTAGACACTGTGCCCTGCCCACTCTGTTGCCAGATTTGAGAGAAATAAGCAACCAGGTCTATGAAAACAAGCCCCAAAGAAGCAACACATACATGATTTTGTGTCATTTTAAACCAAAACTAAGGCCTCAGGATGACTTTACGACGTGAACATGGACGATCTTTTGAAAATCACGTGATCGAATCGGGACATCTCTAGATGTAGCATGACTCCACTCCCATACTCTTCCTGAGCCATCGTCTGCTTACAACAGTATGAGTGCATCATTAATGCGTCTCTGCTCGGCTCCACCTCCTCTTGTCTTATCTTAGCTCTGTCTCAGATGCGATTATAGACCAAGCTGTGAACACTTCCAATAGGCTGCTGGTAAATCCACTGGGTAGATCTGGTTAATAAAAGTGCTTTGTTAGACCCGTGGCACCTGGCCCCTATTGGAGATGTGACAGATTCTCCATAAGGCCTGACTAGAAAAGCCTCTTACAGCTCATACACTCCTACCTCTTCACCCCACATCTCTGTAATAACCCTTTGTGAGCAGGCTGCGTGTGTACTTTGTACCAGTGATTGTACCTGACAGCTACAGGACATCTATCCTGCGTGTGTGACATCTCATTCTAAATTGTATGCACAGTAAAAGGATGCCTGTGTTTTTACATGTTGTTCACAGTATCTGATGTGTGTGTTTGTGTGTGTTGCAGCGAGGCAGCAGCCCATGCTGTAGCGACGCTGGCAGAGGCCACTCTGCAGGGCGGGGGGCAGATTGTCCTGGCAGAGACAGCAGCTGCTGTTGGGGCCCTGGCGGGGGTCCAAGATGCCACAGGTATACGACATGTTCATCAATAACGTTAGGATCAACATGCAAAATGCCTCTTAAATCACAGAAATGATATAGTGATCATATAAAGTATATATTTTAAATGTCTATAGCACTAATTATAGCTTAAGTGACACTGGTGGAGTATTTACATCACCAAGCGTCTTTGGACACCAGGAAAAGCGCTGTATAAATACCATGGATCATTATTAGTGTCCCTACTCTCACACACTATCTGTTGTTAATAGAAACTTCAGCTACTAAAATCCTAACGCTCTCTTTAATCCACAACTATTTCAATAATAGTAGACACTGAATATTTAACTTTTTTAGTGCGCAGTAAATTCAGATTTCTTGAGTCATCGATCATCTTTCTTTTTTGCGTCTCACACGGGTGTCACATTTAAGGGATTTTAAAGTTAGAGTAAAATACACACCATAAACTTAGTTTTTCACATGTGTACTAATTGGTACATGTGTGTGTGTTCCCCAGCCAATGGCATGTCTAATTAGCCTCTCTAAGTGTAATCTCCCGCAGTAGCACTGCAGCCTCTGAGCTGCTGCACTTTAATCTACCATGTGCTGATGTGACAGATGGTGTGGGTTTTTTGTGTGTGTATCTTCCCTTCTTTTAATGATACGTTAGATGCAGGAGCCCATTGTTAGCTTCCTCACAGGCACATGCATCCTTTGATATGGCGATGCATTGCTACTGGGACTGGACCAGTTTGTCCTCACATCCTCATGGATAGCATTAACAGCCTTTTTGATGTCCATCCATACCCTGGGGGGAATGTAAAGCTACTGCTGGTCACTGATTAACACCAGGGGACATGCTGCTAATCGGATCACTCACTAAAGGTAGCCTGGAAGTGTCAGTAGCATATTTTACAAAAATACAGATATACAAAGGAAACTCAGCGTGAATACAAACTTTATAATTAGATGTCAATTGCTGGCTAAATTACCAGTGTGATTTAAAAGCTGTTTAAAATTGTATTTCTCATATTAATACAAATGTAACAATAACTGCTGGAGCCAAAATAATGAAATTTAATCTTTTTTGTGTGCCAATTAATGCTTTGAATCATGCTCATTTCAAATCAATGCAGGGATGCAACACATGATTTATTACACTTCAGTTAATAATAACTAATCTCCAGCAAATATAACAGACAAAAGGTTTAGTACACACGTCTCATCAATCCGTCAATCTTTGTTCTCTTTTACCATTTACTCTAATCAGTACCATCCGACAGTAGGATAAACACACACACACAACACACACACACACGGTACACTAGTCCAGGCTCTCAGGGGCCGATCCACTCCATTATCAGTCCATTGACTTATCATTGGGCCAGCTGTCAGCACACAAACACATCATTTGATGTAAGAAAAACATAAAGAATATTCAAAGCAGACAGCCCTTCTGAAATATGGTGCAGAATGCTAACGTATTACATTACATTGCATTTAGAAGACTCTTTTATCCAAAGCCACGTACAATATGTTCAATAAACCATTAAGACTCAAACAACAAGAACAGTGCTGACATATTCACTTCAAACAAGCAAGAACATTGTACGTGCTGGTGCGTAAGTTATACTCTTAGGGTTTTTTATTTGCCACGGTACAATCGTATAAACACGGTGTATTTGTATGCACTGCTGTAAATCCAAGTTATTTAGTTTATTTCCTGAGCCTTTGTGCCACTAATTGCTCCCTGAACCATAAGGAGTCGTTTTGCTGCTCCGGCTCTCCACCAGCTAATGGAGCTGCCAGAGCCAGTCCTTCTCCTCACTATTGACCTTAGCTAATCACTGGAGTGCTGCCCAGGAGTGGAGAGTCTGTTTGAAGTGCAGCAGCCAGACGTCTGATTGGCTTGTGTGTCCACCCTCCGCTAACAGAGGCAGAAACACACACTAATACATGCACACACCACACACCACCCTTAATGTCGGAGTGACAGTGTTGGAGTGGCCCGATGAGGCCCTTCACTCAGTCACTGTGCGGGCCCCGTATGTCACCATGCCAGGCCCCCTGCCCCCTCCCCTAAGCCCCCCTCCTCAATCACAGCCAGCACAATCACCTGCATCAGCAGATCTTAACCCTGTCGCAAATCACCGGCGAGTGGGCTTAGCAAGGGCCCACATTAGAGGACCAATAACTAGAAAGCTAGCCTAAAAAAAGGTGCCTGATTTTATTTTGGGAGACTTGAAGGATGGCGAATAATCAAATCAAAGTTTAATTATATAGCCCCCTATCACAAAAAACATTAGTCTCAGTGGGCTTTACAGATCAACAAACATAGATGACAGTGTAAAATATAATTTAATTCACAAGAAAATGATAAAAGTAATGACAAATGATAAAATATGAATAAAACGAGATAAAATAAAAACAAAAAGACAGTAAAAATAAAATACCATAAAATGTAGGACTCAAAGGACAAACAAAGGTTCATCTTAAACCAGCTCTAACTTTAGGCTTTATTAAAACCCACAAACAGGAAGTTGGTTCCAGAGAAAGGGAGCTTGGTAGCTGAATGCTCTGACCAAAAGACCTGCACTCATAATATATTTACCTTGACAGGGTTGATGTGTGTTTGGTGCATTCAGTGTCTGAGCTCACAGTAAACGGAGCGGGCATTAGCCTCTGCCACCCCTCACACTGACCTTCCTGCCTCCCTGTGACACTGTGACAGCTTGCAGGGTGGGGCGAGACCCACGTGATGCAGCAGTAATCCCTACACACACACACACACACACACACACACACACACACACACACACACACACACACACACACACACACACAGCTGGGCCTGGGGGAAGCTCAAGAACGTTCAATCGGACCATTGTTCAGAAATGCCATCTCTGCAACATGGCTGCCTCCTGTCACAGACTACTACCTGGACAGAGTTAAACTGTAGTGGCAAGATTACAAAAAGTTAGCATAAGGCTGCAACAATTTCATTTCTTTATTAATTAATCTGTTTATGACTTTGTTTTATGATTTGATCAGTCTTTAAAATGTCACAGTTAGGGATGTTTGCCCGTTTCAAGAGCCCAGCATGGTGTGGTCTCATCCAATTTATTACCAACTCAAAATCCTAACCTCTGAAAATCTTGAACCAGCAGGTGCTATACAACTTTAACTGATAAATGACTGAAATGGTCAATAGTTATAGTAGAAACGAGCAAATCTTCACATTTGACTGTGACCACCAATTGTTATCTGGTCAATCTAATAACTACCTAAAAGGTCTCTTGAGAGAGGCTGCTGTTATCATCTTAGCTCTGAAGTGAAATGGATTCTTTATCGGCCCTTGCTGCACCCTTTCATCAAGATTCTTTACTGCTCACAGCCAAAAATCAAACATTGAGTTAAAAATCCGTCATCAGAATGATGCCGTTCATTGTTCCGTCTGACTAAAAAATGATTAGTTCTTTAATCCCTTATTCCAGCTGCTGGGATAAAACAGATGTTGATCCCTGCTCGGCATGCAGCCATCCCACCGGCAGGTTAACAGTGCTGCTGTGAGTCTAAACCCTAACATCTGTGCCCCCACCCCCCAGGTATGGTCCAGATCCCGATCCCGGTCAGCATGTACCAGACGGTAGTGACCAGCCTCGCCCATGGCAACCGGGCCGTGCAAGTCGCCATGGCGCCCGTCACCACGCGCATCGATAACACGGTGACGCTCGACGGTCAGGCCGTGGAGGTCGTGACCTTGGAACAGTGACAATGATGAACCTGGAAAGAGTAGGAGGGGCCGATCGGCATTCTGTGCTGATTGGCTCATCCTACTGATTTCCAGCTATGATGCTGTGTACAATGTCAAATATATTTTTTAATGTACATCTGCAGGGGAAGTGAGGTATCAATGTGTTTACTATGTAAAGATATTGCTTTTGTGGTGTATTGTTTCTCCCATTCGGCTTCATGTTTGTTTGTTTTTTAGATCTGTGATGTTGAGTATTTAGTATTTATTTCTTCACAATTAACCTTTACTTAAAACAATGATGAACCAAAAAGCCCGGGAGCAAAGCCACAACTGAACCACCCACAGTGTGTTCACACTGTTCTCCATCTACATGTCGTCTTGGTACTTGACCGTTTGGATTTTAGGATGCATTTACACTTCAGTGCCATAGAGTTCACTCCTGTTTTCAAATCCTCTATCATATTCTCAATTCCTCTTGAAAGCATCGGATCAGCGTCTGAACTCATGGACATTTCTCCCATTAGATGATGGAATATTATGTTGAAATACCATATTGTGTGCTTTTCCCTGTGCTGTTGTACTGTAGTCCCCGCACATGCCAACATTTGTGAAGACTCAGGATTTACATCAGTGTTTTGTACTGCTGGACTGCGAAGCTGACTTCCTGGAGCAGCCATTTTGTCGACCAAATCCATTCATCCACAGTGCATGGAGAGGGGTTGATGTTATTTTTTTAACATGGACTTGTATATCACTTAGGATTTGGTGGTCTGCATCACTTTGTAAATCACAGGAAGCTGGCCACACTTTGACACTGGCGCTTTATCTGTGTTGCAAATATGAATAAGGGTTTTCTTTTTTAAACAGCAAAAAAGTGCTCGACACGAATCGACTCGGTTTGGTTCAGCTGTAACAGTTTCACAGTCTTGCCACTATTTAAAAAATAAAGTGTAATAAAATGTCTGCTGTTCACCCTTCAGTCAGATTCACTCATGAGTATTAGTAATGTTCATCCAAACGATAAAAGCGTAAATGAAATGCTTAAATATGTATTGTTTCTCACATTGAATCAAATTGCTTAGTTCAATTATTTTAATATGCTAGTCTCACTGTAAATATGTAAATAGGCAGTTGCATTAAGGAAAGAAATGCAGGATGCTTTTTTTGAAACCAAATGAAGTTTGAATGCATAGTATCAAGCAGGGTAGACCCGGGTGTTTTTTAGGAGCTGAGCACCGAGCTAAGACGGCAAATATTGCATTGACATTTGGGGGATATAGTGTTGGCTGAGTGTGATTGGTTTAGATTGCATTTTGTCTAGTCATCAAACTGTATTTAAAGCGATGACCTTGGCCCAGCTCTTCCATACCTCATGACATTTCTCTGCATTTTGTCCCGTAGTGATAGCGCGCCCCCCCCCCCAGCCACAGACAGGGCCATGATTGCATCATAAGCTGCTGAACCTCCTCTGATTTAAAGCCTGGGATTTGCTATCCGGGCCCTTCTGTTGCAGAGTAGCAGAGAGAAGCGTTCAGGCCTTAATCTACCAGGCTCTCCGTCCAGATTAATGCTGAAGCAGGTTGCATTTACACAGATGAAAATATCCTTTTGGTTCTTGTTGTTTTATTCTTTTTGCTGACTGTTTTATATTGGAGCAAGAGAGAACTCAGCAGACTCACTGGAGAATAAAAAGACCTTATTAACGTGTTTTAAAAAAAAAAAAAGACCTAGTATAACAAAAATGTAGTATCATAGTATGTTGGAACATTTGAAGAAAGTCATGGTGTAGTGCAGTAAAACATACGAAGGGCTGGGCCCCTCACTACAGGTGAGGTATACTGCCTCAATAGTTCAGTTATAAGTCAGCAAAATCAATCAAATGTAGGTTAATGATGCTTGATACTTGAATATGCTTTAAGAAGAAGGCAGCCAACATCCCAGCTCTCCAGAGGGTTTCCTTTGTGTTTCAGAAAGTGTTGCAGCTCATCTTAACACAGAAGCTTCAGAATGCTTATAATAAGGGGAAATAGGAAGGGTATGTTTGAAGCTTGTTATGGAAATAAATTATTGCATTTTTTATCAACAAAGATTTGTTAGAAAATGTTTTCAACTTTAATTGACTGAATTTATTTGAAAATGGTTCTTATTAACACATGAATACTGCTGTCTAATAAATGTTTACATATATATTTAAGAACTACAATATTGAGTGATATTGAAAATAATTCCATAGTATGTAGAAGAACAAATCATTGTAAAGTATTTCGATACAAAGTATAAAAAAGTCCTAATACTATACTTTATATACAATAAACACTACTATTTTCAACATACTTTACAATGATGTTTTTCATTATACTTTTGGACATACTATACTATTACTTTTTTAAATATGTTTTCGGACATACTATACTTTGAAGCTTTCTAACGTTATTTTTGACATATTATTCTATTAATTTGTTTCGACTTTTTCATACACTGAAAATGTTCATGACATTTTCCACATATTATACTAAGAGTTTCTTTTTTTTTAAATGTCGACATACTACACTGTGACTTTTTAGAATTACATTTTCAGCATACTTTATTATGTCTTCTTTTCCAATTATTTGACATACTGTACTATGACTTTTTACCAAATACTGTAGTATACTATAACGTTTTTCATTACATTTTCGAAATGTAATATTACACAATTACCTTTTTCAAATTTCTTTACGAAAATGACTTTTTTTATATACTATACAATGACTTTTTTTTAAAGTTTCTCAACAAACTATACTATGATGATTGTTATGATATACTATTCTATGACTTTTTTCAAATGTTTCGATATACTGTACTATGAATTTATTTTAATGATATTTTCTATATCTGCTTTTCAATTTTTTTTACAATTTTCGTAATACTATAGTATAATGTTTTTCTTAAAATGTTCAACATAATACAACAAAAATCATAGTATAGTGTAAATGTATAGTAAGTCGAAAAATTGGAAAAGAAGTATAGCATAATATGTAGAACATTTTATTTAAAAAAAATGTATAGTATAGTATGGTGAAAAATGTGACAAGTCATAATATATAGTATGTCGAAGTATTTGAAAAAGGTTTATGATATAGCATGTTGGAAATGTACTGAACAAGGTTATTGTTCATATGTGAAATCATTTGAAAGAAGCAATAGTTTATTATGTGGAAAATATCACGAAAACGTCAGGCCCACATCCAGGGCTCAGATTCCTCTCTAACAGAGCCTGGGCTGCACTGCCTGTTGTCAAGGTTACATCACCGTGCACACCGCAGTGCATTCTTCAAATCATCACATCCGTCCGACTCGCTTTGAACCTGATTGGATGATATTAAAGTCATCCAATCAGCGGCCGCAGTGTGAGTGCTGCGTCCTGGGGGGAATATGTTCAGTGATGGAGGATCACTGGGCAGAGGGAGGGCAGGTCCATTGATCCTCAGCCGGGGGGGCAGCCTGAGGCCAGGGCTCCGGTGGTCGGCTCCACAGGGGTCTCTGCAAGGGGGGGGGGTGGGGTGGTCATTCCTGGTTTGCCTCTCTCTTTGGGTCGTGGCGGCAGACTCTAGGGCAGGGCTTTAATCTCCACTAATCGTTTCTTAATACATGCATCCCAGGCCCTACACCCCCGCACACACTCCCACATGCACACACACACGCTTCCAAATGCACACGTTTGTACAAACTGCTGGCAGCATGAGGCCGCACTTGCTCTAACAAGAGATAATCTCCCACCCCTCGTCTGGGCACAGTGCTGGGTCCCAGCTTCAAAAAACATCCTCCTCATTCAAAGGAATGAAATGGTTGATTTTTGTGAAAAGAGACATGTGGGGGTGGGTTTCTTAGTTGGTTTGTTTGTTTGTTTGTTTGTTTTGCAAGGAGGAGTGGTGATATACAATTATTTAATGACAACCATTTTTCATCAACTTGTTGTTCTTTAAGTAATGTATTTATCTTGTTTTCCTTCATATTCTTTTATGTATGTTCATTTTTTGGTAATATTTTATTTACTTATCTTTGAGAGAAAGGGAATATTTGGTTCCATGTCGAAATTGTGAATTCAATGTAATTGAACCCCTTCTCTTTCAGTAAAAATACAATTATATAATAAAGAGACTTTGAGTAATGCAAAAAACTCAAAATAAATGGTTGATCAGAGAAGAATACTTATACATCTGTCACTGCATAACTTCACCAAATCCCATCTTCTGTTGACCCACTGGCCTGAGAGAATCAGTGGACATTCAAAAGAACTAACATTACTTTCTATAAAAAAGACCAATTATGATAGCACAGACTTTGGCCTATAGTAGGCTCATCCCTGAGCATCAGCAGACATGTTGCTGAGGAAGCACTCTCCTCCATAATGGAGTCTGGTGGTCTAATAATGGCATCCTCACCTTTCAAACTCACACCTTTGCCCACCTCCTGCCCAGACAGTAAGAACTCTGATAATCTCATTTCACTAATGCTCTGCACGGCCTGCATTAGAACACAGATGAAGCACTGTCTCAGCCGGACTCTCCCCACCCAGGAGAGTGTGCGTGCGTGCGTGTGTGCGTGCGTGCGTGCGTGCGTGCGTGTATGTGTGTGAGAGATGGCGAAAGGGGCCAGGGGGCTGTGGGATAGAGGGGAACTGAAAAATGCGGCGTAACCTGAGCTGCTCGGCCCATCTGGAGAAGGCCAGCATTGACAAGGGTTATCCCACAATGCACTTTGCTGCAGAAAAGATCGTTAGAGGGAGTCTGACACTGATCGTTCTTTATAATAGTTTATTTGCATCACAGACAGAGGAAATTGTATGATAAAAAAACAATACATGATTTAACAGATAAAAGCACATAATACACAACAAATCTGGCATTATGAGACTCAAGCTCAGAAGGTGTGGTCACATGTACACACATGTTATATTTGCATGTATGTTCTGTAACATGAGACACAACCACAGTTTATCAGTTGTCTGAATAACAGCTCTTTTAGGGTGTGTATCACCACCAGCTCAGCATTTACCCACTCCGTGTTTTATTCTCCAAAGGTAGAAGGTCTGATGTCTACGTCCACAAATATAGCTAGCCTGCAGGCAAACTGGTGACAATACAAATCATATTAGCTAAAGCTGAAGTGTAGGCTATAAAGCAGGATTTATGCACAGGCAGATAAAGAGGTTTTAATCCCCAGATCCCCCTGTCACCTACATTAGCAGACCCTGACCCAGATATATGGAGCTCAGTATGTAGCAGCTTTTCCAGCAAACCAAACCGACCTCTGAGAAAGACTCCCTGGCTCTCCACCCTGACTCGTTTTGGAGGGGAGGAGGGATAAGAGTCGCATTGAAAGAGAAGGTAAGATGACACCACACGGTTTGCCAATTATGCCACGGAGCTAAGAGAGGACCCCTCGATGGCTGAAGCTCTCTATGTGAAGTCACACAGCGAGACCCCTCTGCTGCCCTCACTCTAATTCCGCAGCAGACCGCTGCTGAACAGAAGAAACCATTGTCATATAACATTATCGGCAGGAAAGAAGTAAAACTCATCGATTTCTTTCATTAAATGCATGTAGGAATGCAAATGATATTATCTTCATTAATGATGACTTTTTGTTCAAATCAAGTTATGAGTCAGTTGGTTATTTGTCCATCCAACTGTCCAAAACCCAAAGATATTGGAAATTGCTCATATTTGATAACTTGCAAAGGTTT